TATATATATATATATATATATATATATATATATATATATATATATATATATATATATATATATATATATATATATATATATATATATATATATATATATATATATATATATTTAAGTCTTAAATATATATTATACACAAAATAATATATATATTTAATATTTTAACAAGATAAAAAAAGTATTTTTATGTGGAATATTTTCAAAAGGTAAAAAAATAAAAAAATGTATTTACACTATTTTTCTATTTATTCTAATAATAGTATATATATAATATTTATATACAAACAAAAGAAATAAATCAAATAAATATGCCATATATTCAAAAAATGATGGAAAAAATATTTTTATTTTTTTAATGTCATGAGAAAAAATAAACAAAGTCAATCAAAAAAGAAAAAGTCAAAAAAGAATAAAAATAAAGCAAATGGGCTCAGGGGGTGTAATAGCGAATATGTGGTGTGAATAAGAAAAAAAACACACAAGCCCAGCCCAATGCCACTGTCTTCAACCTCCAGCACAAATGTTTGAAAAAACGCGCGCCATATTCAGCTTCTTCTAACTCTTGATTCCTGGCTTTTTAGCAAAAACTCATAACACAACAAATGTTCAGCATGAAGAGACGATTCTAACCATGTATGGAACTTGACCTAACTCTCTAAGATGAGGGAGAATTTCTCCTCCCCCAAATCCTAACCTAATTTTTCTGCCATTTTCAAACTACAAATTCTCTCTACTCAGGCAAAAGAAATGAAATGTAAAGATATGTACATGTTCAGGGTTATGAGTAGAACCTTGTTTCTTCACAAACTTAAGACTAAAGATGCATGATAAGAGAGATACGAGTTCAAAGTTTTACCTGTGCAGTTGAACTTCTATCTGGAGAATGAGGAACCTCTAGTGCAAGGTAATGATTGGAAAAGCTTCCTTGAGGTCCAGGGATGCTTTTTCAATGCTTACTTTGTCTTGAAACTTCTTGTACCAAGCTATAGAACTTCAACTGCAAAAGGAAAAAATGAAAATGGTGGAAACTGTTAGAGGGATTACAGATCAGGTTTTAGGTCATGGTTAGCTTGCATAGGTTGTGAGGAAGGTAGAGGAACAGGTTTGGACCAAAATGCTCGAAGGGATTGAGAGATAGCACTCAATCTGCAGGGGTTGCTCTGTTTGAGCAGTTTTATGGTGTTTCTGAGATGGAGAGTGTTTGAGAGGTCAGGGACTCGTGCCAAAGCTTGGATATGTTCTTTGGAATCTGTTTGATAACTTCTTTCTTGTGTTTCTCTGCTGGTATGAGAGTTGTGATAAGTTATGCACTTTTCTTCTATGTTAAGCAACAAAATGCCACTTGATGTTTTAGGTCAGTAGGGGACCTCTAATCCTGCAGCCAAGCCTCTCTTGATCAGAGCAATTTGTCCATAATCTTGTGCTAAAAGGATTTAGCTTGTACCTGCTTGGATTTCAATTTGACATAAAGCTAGCTTTTTACAAAAATGGATAAAGCACTTTATCTAGTTTAGGATTAATCCACTATGCAATGTTAGAACACAAAGAACATGGCCTTAACACATTGAATATGCATTAAATTATTGAGTATGGAATGGTTCAAGGACCTGTAATCAAGCATAAAGCAAGCTGAGTTCAAATTTGCAAGATTATGAACATGTTTTGATGAAGAACAAAAGTGAATTTTTACCAACTTGTGAAATTCGAATCTCTCAAGTTATGAGGTTGTTTGATGAGTTTTTGGACATTTTGGAAAGCTTGGAATTTGTACTACAATCCATCTTTGAAATGCAAATTAAAATTCCAAGTGGAAGGGTATGGAAAATGGCCTTGAAGTGGGGTAGAAAACCTTGTCAAAATAGGTCAAATTTCACTAAGTTAAAAAATGGTTTAGTGCCCTTATTCAAAAAATTGTAACTTGAGATACAAGCTTCAAATGAGAAAACTTTGTGAATCAAAGTTGTAGATTATGCAACAAGCTACAACTTTCATGTTTTGACTTTTGTTTGAATCCAAATGGATCTTGGTGAAAAGATGGGGCAAAGTTGGGAAAAAATTAGGGTTTTTCATAACTTAGAAAAATTCTAAGTTATGAAAAATTCCATTTTCTAACCCTAATTTGCATTTTGTGATTTCTTGGTGAACAAGTTTCATGATTTGGCATGTTTTGATGAAAAATGAATCTTGACTCTTGATTTTGACCAAAAAGTCAAAGTTTGACTTTTCAGTATACAGTCAAAATTGATCAATTGACTGGGAAATTCAACTGTCAACCTTGTGTACTTGGGATCTTTTGAGCTTGATGAATGTGTCAAGACCATTTTATTGAGTCCTTGAGTCCATAAGTGAGCTTGATTTGCCATTGGCTAGGTCAAACAGTCAAAAATTGCCTTTGTGCAGTCAAAACCCTAAAAATGACCATTTTGCCCTTTTGGTGATCTGATCAAATTTCTTGTGGAATTGTGATCCAAACTTGATCAAATGGTCCATATGAGTTCATAATGTTGATGTGGATCAAATTTCATGAGATTTGACTGTCAATTGGCCACAGTTGACTTTTTCCCCAATACAGCTGATTTCTAGGTCAACTGTCCAATTGACTGGGCAAAACTTGGAATCAAGACTTGAAACTTGGCATGGGTAAACTTGGGAGTCCAATATGAAGCATGAAAGTCATCTTAGGAATTTTAGGTCAAAACATCCTTGGGCAAACACAAACCCTAATTTGAGTCCACAATGCAAGGAGAAGTCTTGAGCAGAGGAAACCCTAACTGGATCTTGATCTTCAAGGGTCTTGTGATGAGAAAATGTTGAGGAAATGGGAGGGCAAATTTTGGGGTACAACACTCAGTATTGCACCCTAGTTGAGATTACAACATCGTTCTTTTGGTTTGTTTTGTTGTGAATGAAGAGACACTCAGTCTTGCACCCTAGTTAAGATCACAACATCGTTCTTTTGTTTATTTTATTCTGAACGAAGAGTCACTCAGTCTTGCACCCTAGCTGAGATCACGACACCGCTCTTTCTTATTTCTTTGTTGATTTCTTGTGCTCACATGCTTCCTTGGAACTTTTTTATTTAATTTCGATCCTTGATTGAGTTGAGTTAAAAATAGACTTTAGATTCCAATCCAAGTATGATAACATTGAGTAAAAGTTCCCTTTGATATACTGACTTTAGGACCACAATTGCATGACAACATTAAGTTTAGCTTCCCTTAGTCCTTTTGTTACCTTTTTGCATTTTGCGTCTAAAACAAAAACTCTTTCGTGATCAAAAACTCAAAACATGTAATCACACTTGAAAATTTCATAAATAAAGGAGAAGTACTCAGATACCATCGGCCTTAGAGGACCATTTGAGGTATTCTCCTAACAAAAATACTCAACCAATCAAAACTTCTTTTGCCTTCGGGCTTTTCTTTTGAAAATATTTTTAGGTAAGAACATGTTAGTTTCTTTCTACGTGAAACAGTCATGTGTGAGTCTCCAATGGTCGAGTGGCAGTAGAATGCAAAACTTAACATCGTTCACTAAAAAAACCAACAAATCAAAAATTTTTAGAAGAACTACGATTCTTTGATTCTTTCGAGATACATAGGCACGAGGTTGTAAAACCGAGGCGAGCGCAATAATAAAAAAACTTTTTTTTGTTCTTTAGCAATTCATTCATGCATTCCCTTAGCTTGTAAGCTTTAGATAACACACCCTTTGATTATAACAACTTGAGTGGATCACGTGGAGTACCACAGACGTCAAATGTGCTAATACCTTCCCTCTGTGTAACCGACTTTCGTACCCTGTTCTTTGTTGCGATACCTTGTTCTTACCCACTTGGGGTTTACTCGATATTTTCCTTTTCCTTCTTTGGGATAAATAATATTCGGTGGAGACTCTGTTTGCATCAGTATTTTTTGCGGTAGCGACAGTAATGCCTATATTTATTCTTATCCAGATGTCGTAGGAAAAAATATTGACTGGAATATCATTTGAAAGTAAAACGACCACATCAAATCCAAATATTCACTTGGTGTATGTGTCATGAGAGAATGTTGACTAACTCTCGATGCCATAGTGGAATCCAAGTATATCTAAGGATCATAGTTGGTGTACAAATAATGAAAAGACCTTAATTTATGTGTTCAGAAAGTGTTATTATGTAACACATGTATGAGTTAGACTTATTCATTATACTGAAATGACTTAATTTTACTCTTTGTCTTGCAGGGATTGAATCTCTTATAATCTTTAAAAAAAACTACGAATTCACACAAAGATCACTAGAGTTCAATATTTATGATCTCATGTTGGTATTTATGGAAGTGGAGAAACAAATCACTATTTAAAGAAGGCTTTCAACAACATGAAAATTCAACTGGAACAATCATGCATCTGGTAAAAGAGATTTCGACATGTAGTTGTGTGCGAAATAAAGATAGGTTCTCAAAACTAGAGATCAAACATGTCCAATGGTACCACCCATAAGACAATTGGATTACACTCAATTGTGATGGTACCTACAAGAAGTCTACTTTCACACTAGAATGCAGAGCCTTATTTAGGGACTCCTCCAGAAATGAAGCAAGAGAATATGCTTTTTTTTTGTGATGCTTTTACAACAAAGATGTGGACGATGTTACATGAAATTGAGTTAATGTTACAGTATCTCATTGGTCTTTTTTTTTTTCTTTTTTCTTTGGGCCTTTAAGCCTATCTTGTAAAAAAAGATTGCAATAAACTTACTAGAACTCATGATAATCTATACCAAAATACTTGTACCAATATAATATACTATCATTCACTACATTTCATGTGAGTTTCACTAAATAATCACTAAAAATAAGTGAATCCAAATTATTATTTAGTAAAACCCACAAAAACCATCATGATTGATATAATCAAATTGAGTATTACTACTACTAATCTTCTAAACACTATTCTCTCAAGAATATACAACTACTCCTTCATAACCTCTCTCTCATATCATCACAACCCTGATTCTATTCTCTTGCATTAACTTCAACTTCTCTCTCATTCTCTTCAGAAACATTAGACTCATCAAGAGATTCTCTCATGGTGAATCCCACAGGTCTCACATGTTTTTCTTCACAAACATTATGCAATGTCAAACGACACACAGGACAAGTGGATTGTTTCCTAAGCCAGATATCAATGCAAGAAAGATGAAAAGTGTGTCCACAATAAGGTATTATACGCAATACTTCTTTTTCTTTATACTCTCCCAAACAGATCACACACCTGTAAAAAGCAAAGTTAGAGGTAAATGATTTATTAAAAAATTAATAATTTTTGAAAAATTAATAATAAATAATATAATATCATATGTAAATTATAGATTAGACTTAACTGTGTACATTGAATGGTATTAAAAGCCTCTTGAGTGAAATTTAATGTAGGAATTGCAGAAACAAATGCTGGCTCAGGTTCATTACCAATCATTTCTGGCTATCAAATAGACAAATCAAAAATCAAAATCTCAACAGTTACACTATGATGATAAACAAAAAAAAAAAACTTTCAATTTTTATTAAATTTATTGAATAAACAATGTATTTAGTATATATATAAATTCGACAGATTGATGGAGACCAGATGAAATATTACTAGTAAACAATATACGTATACATTAAGTGAAAATTTACCTGTTCAATATCTGGTATCGAATCAATCTGAAATATAGTACGTGAACCCACACGTCTTTCTCTAAATCTTCCACAAATTATTCTTGAGCAAACAAATACAATGAAAGTTGCACTCATTCCAAATCCAATAATTGTACTAACCAAATTTGCACCTGAACTCATCATATAAAAAACAAGAAGAAAGAAAAAGCTGTAATATTATAACATAGCCCACAAGTTGTTAAAGATAAAGAAGATGATAAACAAAAAAAAAATGAGGACACAAAAAAAAACCCTTTAAAAAAATTGCATTTTTTTTATGTGGAATCTAAGTGGCTTTTAATTTAAAGAAAATAAAAAAGAATCCAAGTGGCTTTGGTGTGACTCAAAGTGAAGATGAATGGTGAGAAAGAGAAGTAGAGAGTTGTGGAAGAAGAAGGTTGATTCTGTTGATGTTCATTGGAATCATATTCGTAGGGTCCATTTTATGATTTTGACTAAGTGAAAATGAGGTAATGTTTTAGATCCAACGGTTGAGATTGGATATAAAATTATTGTTTTTGGGGGATAAAATGATCATAACGGTTAGGATAGTGCATTGGATTTAAGAGTTTTGAAACCGCTGCTATAGTTATTGGTTTTTGTCATTTTTGAACATAAGTTAAGGCTTTTATTAATGATATTGTGATTCTCTTGTCCAAAGGACAAATGTAGAAAAAGGGTAATAAAGGAATTAAGAATGTTTTTGATTGATTCCCAATCAAACTTGCAGGTAACTTGTTCTTTTTTTTAATTTCAAAAAATGTTTTTTTTAAAGAAATTTGATGATGGACATATTTTTATTAATTTAATTATACTAAAATTAAGGTTTTTCCTATTGAATTAGCACTTCAAGTTACAATTTTTATTTCAAAATAAAAACAAAGATAAAATACTTTTTTTTTTAGAATAAGAAAATGAGACAGCAATGCTCGTTCAATGTAAATCATTTTTTTTGTGATCACTATAATCCCTTTGACACTGATAAAAAAATCAGTATTGCAATTATTAAAAATTATAAAATGAATTACATGGCAATATTTCTTCCAATAACTTCTCCATCCAATTTATCTACGGAATAATATAATAATTATTAATGAATTAGTTTATTAAATTCATGTGATAATATAAATTCAATGGATCAAAACTTTTTCTAAATTCAACGGATCAAAACTTTTTCTAAACTCAATGGATCACTTAAAACAATAATATAAATTTATTGAATAATAAAATATATATTATTTAAAAAAATAAATATATTATTATATTAAAAACAATATTTTTAAAAAAGTCTGCAAAAGCCAAAAAATAAATAAATACTACGTGGAACATGACATAGAAGATTAAATTGTAATAAATGAGATATTATAATTAAAGAGGATTTGATGGTCAAACGAATGTGTCCATAATAAAATTCAAATAGTAAATAGGAAATGCCTTAAAAATTGGTCTAGGTGTAAAAGTGATAAAAGTTGGAGATTCTAAAAAGAAGAGAAGATTTAGAAAAAATATAAGAAAATTAAGGAAAAGAATACGAAGATAGTGGACAAAGGAAGAACTAAAAATGTTACTTTGAAAATGACTATTTAAATTTTTTAAAAATAATAACTTTTTCAAATACTTTTTCTAAAAATGTTTTTTATTTAAAAACTCAAAAAAAAAATTAATTTTTTCTTTCTATTTTTACGATTAAATATGTTTTTAGTCTTTATAAATATTTCAATTTTTAACTTTAGTCTCTATTAAAAAATAATATATTTTAATTTATATAAAATTATTATACACATAGTTTTAGTCTTTCTATTAAACCAATGTATATTTTTAAATGATTATTTTATAGACATCTTTAGAACGTTATAAAGTTCCTCGATAAAAAAGAATTCAAATTTAATTTATAAATTGAGATTTTCATTTTCTTTTAAAACTTAATGATTTAATTCTTTCCATTTTAAAAAATTAAAATTTGGTAAAGAAATATTTGATAGTATTATAAATATATATGAAAAAAATTATTAAAAAATTTAAAAGTTTAAGGGTAATTAAACTGTTTTCAAAATTTTATAAAATAACAAGGACTAAAACTGCATGTATAAAAAATTTGTAAGGACTAAAATATATTATTTTTTAATAGAGACTAAAAATGAAAATTGAGATATTTATAAGGAGCAAAAACATATTTAATCCAAAAATTTAATTTAAAAACTAAAAAGTTAATATATTTATAAAATATTTAAAATAAAAATGCCAAAATTTTTAAATTATGATTTTTTTTGGAAATAAAATAGTTTGATTTATTCAAAAAACAATGAATACAAGCGATCCATTTCAAATCCAGCACCCAGTTAACAATCCATAAAGACTACTCTAAAACCAAAAAATAAACCAGAAGAAAAAAAAACTATCAATCTTCCATCATAAGGATGGCTACGTATCCTCTAATATCTTTATTGTTTCATCCTCTATAAGTAATTGTATCTATAATCCTCCTACCTATATTCGTGTTATAAACATCTTTACCAAAACTCTTGTCATTTCTCATTTTCTAGATTTCGTATATAGTTTTCGTCATTGCCATCTTCATCACACGAGCTCGACTATTTTTTCCTTTTATTTGATGGATCAGCCAATTGATTTATGTACGCCAATCTCCAAGGGTATATTGCACATGCATCCAACGTAAAACTTCTATCCAGATTTCCTTTGTCTTCTCGTATTCGGAAAATATGTGGTTTATCGATTCTTCTCTATCACAGAAACAACAGTTTAGATTTATCAATCAAACCAAATTTGACCAATCTATCTTTAGTTGCCAATCTCTCATGGCTGATCGTACCTGATCAGAATTGGACCGTCACAGTTGGTTCGAACTGAATTTGAAGGAGGTGGGGGAGGGGGTACCTGCAAGACACTCCGATGATAAAGTGAGAGACTGAATGAGCAGGCGAATTGTATGTAGGTGTGAATGAATGAATACCTGACCCTCTTAAAATAGAGGGTATTTATAGCCCCAGTGCTGGGCCAAGGTCCCTTTACTGGGCTGATAAAACAGGCCCAACAAAGGGACTGCCAAGTTCTACGTGGAGTAGTGGGGACTTGCACGTGGTCCCCTACCTGGATGATGCTCTCCGCAAAAATAGGGAGGTGAAGACGCGGTCTTCTCGGGACCCTGAGGACTCCGAGATATTCGGAGAGGTTGAGTCTTCCCTACGAGGAGTGTGTTCGAGCAGGGCCTAGATTGAGACGTTCCTTGTCGGGGACTCTCTTCACGGACACCGACGGGCACAATTGTGTTCGATGATGTGATACGGTGGAAGAACTGACTAGAAGTTTTGCGTTTCGTTCGCACTTGTGCGGTTAGCAAGAGTCTCCACCGACTTTTCTTTTATCCAAAAGGAAAGGCAAAAAAGCACAAGAAAGACCTTTCGAGAATTTTCTCGGGTTCGGGGGGTAGATTATGAAAAGGGAAGGTATTAGCACCCTTTTCATCCATGGTTTTCCATGGGCTCTTAGTTACTCGTTTTAGATCACTTGCTTTTGTTTGATTGTGTGCTTGTGGTGTGGGCTTTGAAAGTATTTTGAAAAATCTCTTTGTAATGGTTCTCGTCTCTATAAGAACGCATACAAAATTTTGTTTCGAATAATGGTTCAAAGATGTACTTGTGAATCGTGTTTTGAAAAGTGTTTTGAAAAGAGGTTTTGCAATGGTTCTCGTCTCTATAAGAACGTATACAAAACATTTTAACTTTTTTTTCGAAATTGTTTTGAAATGGAGGTGTAGGTGTAAAAGTTTTGTCGTGAGCAAGCGAGTAACTAAGAGCGAATCTATCTACTCGAAAGGTCTTAAATTGTTCTTTTCTTCTTCCTTTTAATGGTGCTATCTTACCATTAATTTGGTAAGAAGCCCCATCCTTGGATGTGAAGGGACAGGCGCGGGTCAATTTTACAATCATTGAAGGCAACTTGTGAGACCCTCTAGCAATTTTTGTAAGGGACGAGATCGTTTTATCAAAGGCAACATCGAGGGTCATCGAGGGACTACGATCTTTGTTTATCGAAGGGTCATTGCTAGAGTGTCTCATATTCGAGGGACATGATTGTATTTTCGAGGCAATAAGCGAGGTTACCCTAGAGGTGCGTGTGTGAGAATTGTGTTAATTTCAAGTTATTTATTCTTGGACTAGGTCATCTAGCGATTAATTTGAATCTTGCCATACATGGCTAATTACTACACAGTATATAGAAAGCAATAAATTGCGGGAATTAAAAGTCTAAGCTATTACAAAAGTATCCGGGAATGGGGGTACAATTATTACAAATGGGGATGAATCACATAAAAATAACAATGTCCAAATAATACAACCAAATCAAATTGTTGTGCGATTCAATATGAAGCTATGACAATTTATGAAATAAAGAAATCAATAAAGCATGAAATGCAATGTTATTTACTTGAAAAAAAGAAAAATAAAACTTAATCTAATAAGAAAATGATTTAAATTAAAAAATCTCTATTATATTTTTTGTGTATTTTATTGATTATGAGCTTAAAGAAAGAAAACTAATTAAATCAAAGTTTTTTGATGTTTTTATTATGTGTAACAAATTAATAAAAAGCTATAAAAAGAAAATAGTAAAAATTGATTTTTAGGGCTTAAAAAATGTACAAAAGCATTATTAGTAATTTTCAAAACCAATAAAAACAAATTAAAGGGAAAGAAAATGGGCTTAAGGGTTTAAGGGTTATTGGGCCCAAAGAAAAGGGATGCTTGCCATTAACAAAAATAAATCAGATGGGGGTGAGTTAGCAAAACATGATGGGCTTTAAGGATTTGTGGACAGAAACGGCCCAAAGCTCTCTTAAGCTTGCTTAATGTTTTTTTTTATTAAGGGAAACAACATATCAGGGTTTGTGGTTCATGCAGAACGGCGCTGTTGTCTCCTTCGTTTCTATCGCTTCTCTTTCTCGTTCATCTTTCTCACTCAAAGTCCCTCTTCTCGTCCTAAATTCGTGAATGAAACGCTTTTTTTCTGGAAGACCTGGGTTCTGAAATGGAACTTATCTCTAAGGGTTTGAAATTGATGCTTATTCTGATCTTCCCCTCGCCTTCTGTTACCGGAGCCCCTCTCTAACTGCCTAACCAAGCCCT